TCAGATCTACATCTACAAACATGTAACGATAAACGGGGCTCCACCCAATCACTTAAACACTTACAGATGATTTCGCATTTACTAATCGTCGAACTTCTTCTGCTGATATCGAGTTAAGTAAAGCCTGAAGGACGTCATTGTTGCCAGATCTTGCACAGTAATGGACACAAGTTTCTTTTGTCTGAATAATTAAAAACATAATTTAAAGAAAATGCAAAACGTTCAAATAAAGTTAAAGTTTTTTAGCGTACATCCACGGTTTCCAGTCTAGGATTTCCGCCATGCTTCAGTAAAAGATTCGCTGCTTTTAAGTCCAGCTCACCAGTCTCCTCATTCGTTGTCAGTTTGCTGACGTAATGTAACGGAGTCTCTCCTTTCTAAACCAAACACAGGCATGTTACAACTAGTGTATTTTGTAAAAGTCCGGCAAGCAGACAAATACCTGTCTTTTACAACCTCTCAAAAACTCACACTTACTGAGGGCGACATAAAAATTGCACTCTTTTTAATCGTGCTGTGCACCGGAGTACCGGAGGCCGGAGCTCCTGCTATTTTTGCCTCCCGGAGACCGGAGTTTGTTCATCTCCGGCAAAACTCCGGCAGTAGTCGTTTGTGCTGCAAAATACTGTCAAACTTTGTTAAACGTGTCTGATCAAAACATTTTTGTATCAACGAACGATAACTATCGGCTAAAATTGAAAAACTTGCATGAAAATAAAACACTTTATGCATGAAACAACATGACGCTAGATTGCGTTAACACATGCTAATTTATGTTTCAAAGTCGGAGTGCGGAAATTTAACTTTACATATAAAAATTTTACAAATAATATTTCATAAACTGTTGAACAGTGTCTTGATAAATTAAACAGCCACGACCAGTGATTCGAGTTATGAAATAGCCAGAGTTTGAAACCGGAATTCAGATTTGATAAGGGGCCGGAGCCGGAGATGAAAACCGGTGTTTGCACAGTCCTACTTTTCAATTAATGGCAAAGTCGTTTTCCATCGATGGCAAGATTTAATGCTGAAGCATTTTTCAATCAAGCAATCAGTAGAGTTGAAATACCATTTGTACATAAATATGAGATTTTGGATCCCCAGTCAGTGAATAGTGAGCTTAGAATATGGGCAAAAGAACATTGTTCTTAAAGAAACAGTTCAAATCATTAAAAAATACTGTCTGTCTTTGCAGTAAGAGTAGGATAAACATGACATATTGAGCAAGCAACTGCTTGAAGATAAACTCTCAATTAAATAAACGATCCCAATGACAATAGTGAATGAAGTCATCAATGAACGATGCCATAAAACATGTGACCAGCTTGTGAAAAACAAACAAATCTTCCTCACAGTAAAATGAATTGGAGAATAATCTAGATCCTTTAAGCACATGTAGTAAAGAAATTTCTTACTTTGTTCGGTGAATTGACTATAAACTTGACACCATGGGTAAGGTTCAGATTAGATTTCATGACATGATTGACTACCTGCAGCAATGTCGAAAAACGAATTCTCGACAGCGATGTGTAAAAGTATCTCTCCTTTCTGCAAAAGACATCGTATATCATCATGCTCAAGATGATTTGACTGTATTGAAAAAAAAGAAATGAACTCCATGAAAATAACTGATCTGTATTGTAGTAAAGTATTGCCAAGACTTTGCTAAGTTTAACCTCATGAGGTCTCTGACGTTTAGACTCTAACCTGTGATTTCCTTGCAGCATTGGCGCCTTCAGACAAGAGGAGTTCTATCATGGAGATATTATTGTTTCTCGTTGCTATGTGAAGCGATGTTTCTCCGTTCTAAAAACATGGTAGAAGGTTACAGCAAACGCTCTTAAATAGCTAGTTAAAGAATATGGCTAATGACAGTATAACATACACTTGTCTATGGTTGATGACAGTATAACATACACTTGTCTATGGTTGATGACAGTATAAAATATGCTTCTCTATGGTTGATGACAGTATAACATACACTTCTCTATGGTTGATTACAGTATAACATACACTTCTCTATGGTTGATGACAGTATAACATACATTTCTCTATGGTTGATGACAGTATAACATACACTTCTCTATGGTTGATGACAGTAAAACATACACTTCTCTATGGTTGATGACAGTATAACATACACTTCTCTATGGTTGATGACAGTATAACATACATTCTCTATGGTTGATGACAGTATGACATACACTTTTCTATGGTTGATGACAGTATAACATACACTTCTCTATGGTTGATGACAGTATAAAATACACTTCTCTATGGTTGATGAAAGTATAACATACACTTCTCTATGGTTGGTAATACATGAAACTAACCCTAACCTTAAATCTTATAGCTTGAAACAACAGTATTACAATAAATTCTCACCTCTTGGGGTACATCAACATTCGCTCCACTCTTCAATAACATTTCAGCGACCTCAGTACCATCTTTATAATGTGCAGCTATATGCAAAGGCGTTTCTTCAAGCAGAAAGAACAAATTGTAAAATTTCAGCCAACCTAGAATTTAAAGCAAAACCTACAATCACAAGAAAGAGTGTTTTAAAACACCTTACCATCCCCTTTAAGATGCACATTTGCTCCGTAGCCCAGAAGAGTCTGCACTACTTTTGGCTTGCGGTGTTGCATTGGCAATATGTAGTGCAGTATACAGATCCTGAAACATAATATACTTCATGATATATCAGTAAACATTGCACAATAAATGTTGACTGACATTAAAAGAAAAGAGTATAGTTGCCAATCAATACTATCATAATCTTAAAAGAAATGATGTTGAAATGATTACTTTGCCAATTGTTAAACTATTTTAATGAAATTTCTACAAATGAGGATAAAAGAGATAATGTCGACGTCAAAGAGTAAGATTAATCAGCGGATAATAAAGGACGTCATTTCAACCACGACAAAACATTTCACGAACCTTCGTTTACAATCAACCTTGCGCCCTTATTTAGAAGAGTCACGACACCCACGTGACCACAAATGACAGCTGCGTGGAGGACGCCTCACCAGCCTTCATAAGAATGAGTTACAATTATAGCAATGCAAAGATATGAACCAATAAAAACAACTCTTACAAGATATTAACCAATAAAACAACTCTTACGATATGACCAATAAAAACAACTCTCACGAGATAACCAATAAACTCTTACAGATATTAACCATAAGCTCTTACAAGATATTAACCAATAAAAACAACTCTTACAAGATATTAACCAATAAAAACAACTCTTACAACATATTAACCAATAAAAATAACTCTTACAAGATATTAACTAATAAAAATAACTCTTAGAACATATTAACCAATAAAAACAACTCTTACAACAAATCAACCAAGAAAAACAACTCTTACAAGATATTAACCAATAAAACAACTCCTACAACATATTAACCAGTAAAGTAACTCTTACAAGATGAACCAATAAAAACAACTCTTACAAGATATTAACCAATAAAAATAACTCTTACAAGATATGAACCAATAAAAATAACTCTTACAAGATATTAACCAATAAAAATAACTCTTACAAGATATGAACCAATAAAAAAAACTCTTACAAGATATTAACCAATAAAAACAACTCTTACAACATATTAACCAATAAAATAACTCTTGCGGAATTAACAAAACTCTTACAACATATTAACCAATAAAAACAACTCTTACAACAAATCAACCAAGAAAAACAACTCTTACAAGATATTAACCAATAAAAACAACTCTTATAACATATTAACCAATAAAAATAACTCTTACAAGATATCAATCAATAAAAACAACTCTCGCGAGATATTAACCAATGAAAACAACTCTTACAAAATATTAACCAATAAAAATAACTCTTACAAGATACTAACCAATAAAAACAACTCTTATAACATATTAACCAATAAAAATAACTCTTACAACATATTAACCAATAAAAATAACTCTTACAACATATTAACCAATAAAAACAACTCTTACAACATATTAACCAATAAAAATAACTCTTACAACATATCAACCAATAAAAACAACTCTCACGAGATACTAACCAATAAAAACAACTCTTACAAGATATTAACCAATAAAAACAACTCTTACAAAATATTAACCAATAAAAACAACTCTTACTCACTTTATTCGGCATATGAAGAGGAACACGTTTGTTTAGTAATGCTAAAACAGTATTTGTATGACCATTTTGTGCAGCGATATGAAGGAGTGTATTGCCAGACTATAATCAAATGAATCTTGTCAAGTTAAACGCGCAGAGTAAGTACTGGTACCAAGTGGCCAGCCAGCTAAGTTAGTCATTTCTATAGGACTGAAACAGGACTGACTATGCCACTTCTGGTACCGACACTTCACGATTGGCTAAACGACTACCGCTGTAAAAACAGTTATTCTAAAATATCACAGTGTGTAATTTCTGGTCATCATCGTAATTTTTAAGAGTTTACAATTAAAATCAAAATGGACGTGAATTTTCGTCATTTTGAACGTGTTGAAGGAGAGTTATGTTATTAACACTTCTGTGCTCGTAAATCACGTATATTGAAAATCGTTTCCCTGGAAACAGCTTCAGAGGACAGCCCTTCTCAGAATTGTATTGCATGTGAACACTATAGGTTATTGTGGTGATAATGATGGATAATAAGGATTCACTGTGGCTTGTTGAGGTGATAATGATGGATAATAAGGGATTCACTGTTGTTTGTTGAAGAGATAATGATTGATAATAAGGATTCACTGTGGCTTGTTGAGGTGATAATGATGGATTATAAGGGATTCACTATTGTTGGTTGAAGAGATAATGATTGATAATAAGGGATTCGTTGTTGCTTGTTGCGGTGATGTTAATTGATTATAAGGGATTCACTGTTGTTGGTTGAAGAGATAATGATTGATAATAAGGGATTCGTTGTTGCTTGTTGCGGTGATGTTAATTGATAATAAAGGGATTCACTGTTGTTGGTTGAAGAGATAATGATTGATAATAAGGGATTCGTTGTTGCTTGTTGCGGTGATGTTAATTGATAATAAGGGATTCACTGTTGTTGGTTGAAGAGATGATTGATAATAAGGGATTCGTTGTTGCTTGTTGCGGTGATATTAATTGATAAGGATGCGTCATAAAAAAAAATTAAATGTACATAATTACCTTGGAACGAAAATTAATATCGACATTTACTTTATCCACAAGATATTCAACAATTCCTGAAAATCCTCTTTCAGCTGCAATGTGTACGGCAGTTCGATCAAACTGTACAAGATAA